TTTACGTTAATTTTTTTTTTTTTTTTTTTTTTTTTTTTTTTTTTTTTTTTTTCGAGTTTTAACTAGTAGTGAGGTCAGCTAATTGGCAGGCACTTTCCCTTTCGAAGTGTGCCCTTTAATCTGACTTGGTCAAGGATATTTTGTTGGTATTTTGACAGCTATATTTATAAAGACAGTAAGCTACTAATTTACCAGTTCCATCACACCTAATATTTTAATTAATTAATTTCCTAATTTATTTTTAATTTCTAATTTCCATGTAGCACAATTACAATAGCGTAAAGTACAGAGTTAAAGTTACGGTAAAGTTACTCTAATCTTTCAATTTACATTATTATTATTATTATGTTCTGTTTTTTGTAATTACGTTTCTCAATTAAATTAAATTGCAGTTGTATGTGACGCAGCTCCTGTGATTTACTACGCTGCGTAGGTAGTAATTGATAGTTTATAACAATAATTAAGAAGTGCTGTTACGTGTCACATTTTGCTTTGATTCAAGTAGTTATTTTTCTGGTTAATTAAGTCTTATGTAATTATTGTTTAATATTAGTATATGTAACATTTTTAATTCTCAATGTGCTAGTGTGAATTGTGTTATGTGCTTATATTTTACTCAAACTGTCTTAGCGCGGTGATATTAGTGTTGGCATATAGTGTTACATACCGATAAGTGCCTTAGTAGAGGGTTTTCTAAAGAAGTGATCTGTGTTTCTACAGTAAGTGCTAAGCCAAAGTGATATTAAAAGTGACAGTTAAGCAAGAGTGATATACAAGTGTGATAATAGTGTTATTAGTGTCTCCAGTGAGATCATACCAATTGTCTCAATATTACTGGTATTCTCACTTTCATACTTTGCCACTGCAGTATTTCAAAGTCTACTCAAATTGAAGAATATATGTCACTTGCCATAGCATACTCATATTGTATTATAATTTGTTATATGATTAATTAATGTACGTGCCCTATACCTTGTAACCAGTTGGTATCCACTTCTCCCTACGTGTCCCTACCACTCAGTCCTATCTCTTAGCGCTGCCCAGCATTATTTATTTACTGCGCACATATCCTAGTGCATCACCAACAGTGCTCGTATTACACTATTAACAGTGCACCGCCATCAGTGTACACTTCATGATGTCTATTTATGCAGCCATGCAGCTTACCAACGTAAATTTGACGCATCTAATTACCAACCAAAACTTGACGCAACTTCAATCCTCAACTCAGAGGACCTAAGTTACGAAGAAAAGATCAACTCTCTCTATGCAGAAGCTTCAGATATTGCAGTCTCCTATAAAGGAGGCAGACACTTGCTTACATTAGAACTGAGGGAGCAATTGCAAAATATCCTGGATGCATTCAAGGACCTAGCGGAAAGAGGCCCAACAGACATCACTCCGCCTCACACCACCAGCACAGCTACCAATACTGACTCTGTACTCAGTACAGTATCTGCACCTTCTGCCTCTGCCACCTCTAACTTGCCCTCTGCAAGTACAAGAACCTATGCACAGGCAACTAAATCGTTGCCCAAACATACACTCCTTCTGTACCCAAAGGAGAGCACGAACCTCACACGCAAAGAACTCAAGGATCGTCTGAGTGCAGAATTCCCGCTCCCTACATTAGGGCTAAAGATCACAAAACTCCGACCCATCCAAAAAGAAGGCTTGGCTGTTCATTGTGCCACCCCAGACGACGTGGAGAAGCTTAACATAAAACTGCAGAGCACACAGGGCAAGCAACTAGTTACCACCAAACTTCCTCTTACTAGACTACCCAAAGTTGCTATACACGACATCTCACCAGACGTCTCACAGGTCACGATAGAAAAGACATTAGGCTCAGAACTCTTTGAGCAATAGCACGTTTAAGGTATTGTACAGAATCAAGGACCGGGGCAATGGGGTCAAATGGGTCCTGGAATGTGCCCCCACCACCTACCACCAGCTTATGCAATCAAGATGGCTACAGATGCCAAGAATTCGGGCACACACAGCAGAACTGCCGTAATAAGACCTACTGTGCGTATTGCTCAGTCAGTCATACAGTCAAGGACTGCAATGCCCGACAGGCAACTTGTATCAATTGTGCCGACTGGAACTACCGCAATCATGCCAGGACCCCATGCGCACACCCTGCATATGACGTCACATGCTCCACATACGGAAGATATGTCGCCAGACTCAAACGAAGCACTAAGTATGAATAATGCTCCGGCCAACTACCCCACTGACGCAGCAGGCCACAACACACGTCTTGGCGATAAAATAAATTGCATTCAAATCAATCTACATAAGGGCCCGAGCAGCCACCTCACAACTATTTCAGCATGTTATCACCCACGATACAGACATCTTACTTATCCAAGAGCCCTACATCAGGAAGGGCGAAGTCGCCAGTCTCCCCATAGGTTGGAAACTTTATCAAAAGAAAGCAGACCCACAAGACCAAGCTCCAAGAGCGACCATTGCATGCAGCAACCCCACCTGGATCCCTCTGGTTATCTATCAGGAGCAAGACGTAGTAGGCATCCTGTTGGCTTTCAAGAACACTCAATTAATTTTCATTTCAGCCTACTCTTCTCCTTCGGACGACGCCGCCAATCTACTTACCACACTACATGGCATCCTACGCCGCCGTCCCACAATTCCAGTTGCTGCTGAGGGCGACTTCAACGCCCACAACAGCATATGGGGCTACGCAGACACTAATGAAAAGGGCCGTACTTTAGAAGACTTTTTAGCCTCCCACAACCTCCACCTCCTCAACACCCCAGAGGCACCACCGACATATGACAACTCATACAACATTGGTTGGCCAGACATTACCTTTTGCACAACTAACATAGTACGAACAATACCGGGCTGGACAGTCAGCGAAGACGAGAGCAGTTCCGATCATAAATTTATACACTTCACTGTACTCTGTGACACGACCATCCCAATCATCACCAGATTCAAACTCCCAGGCAGCAAAATTCGTCGCCTCTCTTCCAGCTTCTCTACTATCCTCCGTAACGAAGAAGACACTATCAATAGCCTTAACACTCGAGAAGAAATTGAAAGCTATACAGACAACCTGCTATCAACCTTAAAAGAAGCATGCAGCAGGTTCTTACCCACCCGCTCTGCCAAAAAACTTCAAGGATTAACATGGTGGACAGCGGCAAAAGTGCAGAGCTCTTAGACGCCGGATATGCAGCACCACAGATGATAATGAAAAACAACGAATTCTGCTGAGTTACTGAAGAGCGAGACCATCTACAAAAACAATATCCTGGCAGCAAAAATCAACAGCTGGCGGAACTTCTGTTCGACCAACACTAACCCATATGGGATACTTCATAAGCTCACTACAGGCAAAGTCTTCCGCCCAGCTCAGATACACATACAGACACCACCTCCAGCCGCTAACATCACCATAGCCGAGCACACAGCTATCTACATCCTGGACGACGCTGAGCAGGCGTCTTCCCAGATGACAAAATTGAAGAAGATACGCCTGCTCAGCGTCGGATCAGAGACAGCATCAGCACCCCCAATACGCCATATGATGTACCATTCCAGGACAAAGAAATTCGATACATCTTCAGAATCTTACCCAATAAAAAAGCACCTGGTCCGGACGGCTTGGACTATGCAATCATCAAGATAGCCCATAAAGCAAGACCTTCCTTCTTCCGCCTCTTTTTCAACAGACTTCTATCCCTTCAGATCTTCCCTCAGGCATTCAAGCAAGGACAAGTGGTTCTCTTTTTGAAGAAAAATAAGAGCGCACAAGACCCGCACTCCTATCGCCCCATCTGCTTTTTATCTACGATGGAAAAAATCTATGAGAAACTACTTGTCCAAAGGCTCTCATATCATCTTTATTCAACTAACTTCCTCAGTTCAAAGCAGTTCGGATTCCGTCCCAGACTCTCCACAACACGTGCCCTCTGCACCCACAAAGACATAATACAGACTAACCGCACAGCAGGTTACCATACTGCATTTATTTCCATTGACCTGCAGAGTGCGTTCGATACACTCTGGTGGGCCGCCATAAAACAAGCACTTCGGAAAGCACTCTGCCCGGCAAATCTCTTCAACATCTTCTGCAGCTATCTAGAGAACCGGAGCTTCCTGATAGTCAATGACAACGGCACTACCATCAAACGCCAGGAAAGAGGATGCCCTCAGGGCTCCTGTGCCGGACCGGTTCTCTGGAACTTAACATTCAATGCCTGTTCTGGAGTCAGACTGGCCACAACACACCTCTGTTGTGGCATACGCCGATGACGCTGCTCTGCTGGTCAAAGCCCGTACGCGGAAGGAGCTGGAGAGAGTAACAGCACTACTACATGTTCCATCTTTGACAATGCATGCTCTGCCTTAAAGCTCAAAATCTCTACAGAAAAGATCCACAGCCCTCTTTATTCCAAAAGCAGGCACCAACCCATCGAGACGCCCCTGCATCAAACTACAGGGGAAAAACATTAAATTTGTCAAGACATTGAAGTATCTGGGCCTCACCTGGGACTCTGGCCTCACCTGGCTCCCACATGTACAAGAGCTGAGGAATAAAACCTCAATTATTGCAAGAAAAGCACGCACATTCCAGGGGAAGAATTGGGGGCAAAGTCACCATATTCAAAAGCTACTCTACCATACTGTAGCTGAAAAAATAGCTACTTATGCTGCTGCCACATGGGCCCAGCCAATGAGCGTCCGGAAAATCAAGCTGCTAACAAGCCTACAAAGACCATTTGCCCTCAATCTCACCCGTGCCTATCGGACCACCGCCACCAGCTCAGCGACTGTACTTGCAGGACTGATTCCACTACACATCATAGTGGAAATGGAGGCAGTCTACACAAAAGTAATATACTTGAGAAAGGACGCCTCACTTTCCAACACAACATATTGCCCCATACAGTATGAAACTCTTGGCCATCCCCTACACACTCATCCGGCTGTCAAAGGTGTCAAGATAGACCTTTCACGTCATTCGAATGCCAATGAAACCCAAGTTCCCACGCAAGGTTCCCACTTCTACTCGGAATGGGTCCAAGCAGGAGGACGGCGTAGGTTGTGCCTATGTCTACTACCAGGACGGACAACGTCGACAAGAATGGAAGGGTCGCCTACAACTACAGAACAGCGTTTTCCAGGCTGAGGTTCTTGCTATCACGGCAGCAACTCAACACATCATCCATCAAGACATCACGCATGCAACCCTCCACACGAACAGCTTCTCAACACTGCAGGCACTACTAAACCATCAGCACACTTTACCTCTAATTATCTCACTACAGCATCTTCTACAACGGCATGCACACATTAACTTGCTACTGAAATGGATAAAGGCCCACGCGGACAACGAGGGCAATGAGGCTGCGGATCGCTTAGCCAAGCAAGCGGTCACAGACTCAGACGCCCAATTCAACAGCCTTCCAGCACCACCCTCACATCTGAAAAGTATTCTAAGAAAACAGTGTCTTCAGCTATGGCAGAGAGAGTGGAACCTCAGCCCCACAGGAAGACGCACCTTTGACTTTATACCCAAAGTCAGCACAGAAAGGCACTTCGCCATTGCACCCCTTACACAATTCATAACAGGTCATGGCCCATTTCCCAGCTACTTCTTTCCAACGCAAAACATATCTCTAACTGACCAATGCGTCTGCGGAGGTCACGGCACCCCGGATCACTACCTCTATGAATGTGAATTGACAACTGCTCATCATCTCCCCAGCCAAACCTCCAATAGAGAAGCTATTAATAGATTTATTATTACACATAAGCCTGCAATATCCAAAATTTGTCAAATTGTCAGCATCACTAGGGCGATGGGTCAGGACATCTGCTCTCCTCACTGAATCCGCCAATCGCCTCTCAGTTCGTCATTAATACACCAATAAATGTATTTTACCATCAGTACCCAGTAGTGCACCAATCCCTCAGTGTCTCAGTTAGCACTTGCACATGTAACAATGTATCTGCATTCGTTATAACATTTGTTCCTGTAATTTATACGAACTGCGCAAATTCTATGATACTCAAATATCTTTGCAATAGCATCTGCGCATTATGTATATATCCATTGTACTTAAATCTTTAATGCACTGTCTGTTTTGTATTCTGTTAATACCTTTGTATACGTATTCCGCTCTGTATATCACATTTTTAGTGTTGTGTACTATTTCTAAAGTTGCATCATGTTTCATGTATTTTATCAATGTATTTCATGTCTCATGTATTGTATCAATGCATTGCATGTATTTTGTCCTGTATTTTATCAAGTATCATGCTTTTACTAAGCTTTTGTTCACTGTCGATACACCCTGTACAAAGTATAGAATCGCTAGATACCTCAGTATTCCCAATATACAACACTATCACGCATTTGCAATATGCTTAAGTTTATGTATTGAGTGAAGGGTATTGGTATCTAATTACGCCTTATGTTTATGTGATTAATGTGTTGTTTTCGTTTTTTTTTTTTTTTAATTTAAGACCCTTTCTCTTTATGTCTTGCACTTGACTATTTATGACATGCTAATGTATCCTGAACTGCAATGTAAAACAATCACTCATCTGCCCTTGTTGCACTGTAAATATTTTTATTAATTTAAATAAAGTTGCTGCTTCTACACAGGGAAAGGCGTGGCACATATGCCTGTTTACCACTGTTAAAAACACCAGTCGTCCCCGTCTTCCGTCACCTGTCACCTGCCTTCGTGGAGGACTTTCTAAGGGAAACTGGCTCGTATACACCTTACACATGCGGAAAACCACGAAAACGCCCATGCAGCCAACCCGTTCGCGGGATTCGAACCTCGGACCAAACTACCAGTGTTCAGCGACTTTACTGCTCGGCCGCTGGTGGGCTTGTTTCCTTTTGTAATTATGAATGAATAGCGGTAGCTAGTGCTGAAACTTGTTTTTTAAGAATTTAGATACAATATAGCCGAGATAGCTATCGTTGTTTTGAAATTAGAACAGTGTTGTGTAAATCAATTAAATTTTATCAGTTGTTTAAGTCGTTTCAGACAGTAATTCTATAAAGAGAAGAAATCATTTTAATTAGCGTTATAATTTTTTGCTTGTAAAACCACCAAGAATGCCTAGTAAACACAATAAAATACATACCACTGAAGTTACAAACCTGTATGTGAAATAATTTTAAATGGCTGAACCAAAAAGCATGAGCTAAGTGACTGACTTCTAATTTCTTACACCGTCTCACATTTGTTTCTGGATACCTGTGTATTTCAGTTTTATTTGTAAATATCGGTTACTAAATACTAGTGAAATGGCTTTTCATTTCTCATATTCCATATTTCCATTCGGCCCAAGGCGATGGCTTCTGGAGTACCTTTGCAAATAAATGCAATTATTTCCACAACTTCGTTAAGAAAAACTGAATAATTAAGAGACAAGCATAGCTAAAGTAAAAGAACGAGGACCGTTAGGGGTTTAAATCCAGAGATGAATAAGAAGTCCAATATTTCCATTCGGAAACTTTGAATAAACAGTTTATATTTAATAAACAATGAAAATAAAAGGACATTCAATGTTACATTGGATGTCTTTTACCTAAAATTACACTTTTCGTGTGCTTTTGCATGGACTTAAATAAGGTTTTCGTATAACAGTATTCCATTTATTCCACTCCTACGTAAGAATTGTTTTTAGTACAGCTTTCCAAGAAGTATCATGTTTCCTTATTCTTTTCTCCAACTTCTTCCTTATTCTTTCTCAACTGCAAATCAATAGCGAGTATTTAAATTGAGGTTTATGGATTTCAAACAGAGTGTTTCTGGCCTCGCATGAGCGTTGCGTGGTTAGTTTCCTGCCAGCTCTAATAGTTGTAACAATTCGGTTTTGCGGTTTCTCGTTACCAACATTTTAATTTTGATGTTCCGTTGGTAAAATGTGAACCAGCTTCTAGTAGTGTTTAAAGGATTTTACAATTATTCTCAGACGTAGCGATTATTTGCTTTACGTCTTTTAGGGCTATTAGAGTAAAATAGATTTACCAAATCAAATGTAAACCTACACATATTCCATAAGATTTAAGTTCGGAGAATATGCAGAAGCTTCAATAACTTTTGGACAATAACCCCAAACAAACATTTAGGACTGTTTGTTTAGGATCGTTATCCGAACAGAACTTAAATGCATTTTGCATTCCAAATTTTGTTGGAGATACTTTCAGGTTTTCATTAAGAATGTGTATATATTTATACTATTCCACACTATTTTTGATAAAAAAAAAAAAAAAAAAAAAACTAATTCTTTATTCCAAAGGCAGCGAAATATCACCAGTCCATTATGCCTTTACCCCGTGCGTAGCATTAGGTAATACATTCTTCGAATCCAATTCGTAATTCGGATTTCGCCACATATTAATTCGTCTGTTGGACCCAAATATATTAAATTTTGCCTTTTCTGCAAATATAAATTTGTTCCATTGTGATAGAAGTTTGCTTACTTTATTTTGCGAACGCCAAGCGTATTTTCTTTGTTTTCCTGCTGACGAAGTTCTCTCTTAATGATCGCCTATTCTCTCCACGTGCTTCTAAATCATAGGTCTCAAACTCAAACTGCACGCGGTCCGCATGTACAAACTGAAGGCAGCTGGGAGGCCGATTGCACGATCTGAAAGCAGCTGGGGAGTGGAAGATATTTTTTAACAAAATTTCAAACTAAATAAAAAAAAAAAAAAAAAAAAAAAAGAAGGAAAAGAAAAACAAAACAAAAAATCCGAAAGGTTTGAGAATCTAAATTACGTCCAAAGGCGCGTTTTTTTTAACATTTTGTGTGTTAACTTTATTAAATATTATGATTTTTCGCACTTAATCATAAAATTCAGTTCAAAAGCAATATCGCAAAATAATTTTAAACTGAGCATATCTTTAGAATTTCCGATACACAGTCTCACGCACTGGAGATAAAAATGTTTTTTTTTTTTTTTTTTTTTTTTTTTTTTTTCTGTACAACGTTGCCGTTGCTTGTTTTGAAATCCTTGAGTTTGTTAATCAAAAATTCCTTAAAGTTTTAACAACAAAATATGAAATCGATAATAAAACAAATTTCAAATTTGGGCTTCCAGACGCCCATATTTGCAGTAGGATTATGTCATTCAAAACTGGATGGCTCTAGGTACCGTTGTTTTATCACAGTGAGAGAAACAAACATACATTTATGCAGATTCTTCATTATTTAATTTCTTCAAATATAATACAGAGCGATAATATTTGGTGGCAATAGTCTGAAAAGTGAAACGGACATTCAGAATGATTCGACGCAAAATCGAAAACGAAAACAATAGTCCTTCTGAGACAAAGCCCTTTTAGACTAATAACTAACTAAATTTTAACTTGATTTCAAATTTCACTTCCTAACTATCTATAAAAGCATACATAAATAATAATAATAATAATAATAATAATAGCCCAAAGGAAAATATTCAAATTATCGTGCTTATTTTCTATATAGAACAAATTTCAGTCCATTACACTTCGTAATGAAGAAAGGAATAGCAGCTAAATGCTAAATTTTTAGACTAACATTTATTTTAAATTATTCTAATGTGTTGAATTTAAATAACGTACTTACCACTAAATAACTTACTTTTAACATGAAATACACAAATTATGAAAACTTGCCAAATTTTTTAGAAAACTTGACTTGTGGGAAAAAAACTTGAGAATAAATAAAGACAACTTTTTCCTTTAACGTATTAAATTTTTTATCGATGCATGCAAAGAAAGTACATATTATAGTAGGTAAATAATTATACATTTCCGGCTATTTTTTACCGCAGCTTGAGATTCGATGACGTTTCGAGTTTAATAACTTTTGTAGCCTTAGAAAAAAAATTCCTGGAATCTATCTTCATCACGGTGCTCATCAGCAATCGGGCCCTTTTTGTTAGACTATTTTTCTTCCGAATTCTTGAGATTTTTCATTTGAAATTGGACGGGATTTAAGACATCGAAATGTGCGAAAGTTTTTTATTTTATCTTTGTTTCTCATATCTGAAATTTAAAAGCTTTAATAGAAGCATACATAACTGATAAGTTTATTCTTTTTTCATAGCTCTTTGAGAATATTTAAATGGCCAGTTAAATCAACATGAAAAGCTAAATTTGTTATCCTTGTATCATTAAGTAGCTCATCGATGATTTTATATTTTTGCGCCAAGAAAATTTGAATTTAATTTATTAAATAAAAAATTGTTTTAATACAGGTCCTCGACTTTTCTCGTTCGACCTCATTTCGTTATAATAAATCATTTCTCAGTACACACTTTCAATTTCTTCGAGCAATACAACAGATCTTCAATGATTCAGAGCTCGGCCACGGATAAAATTTACTGTTTTAATTACCATTTCCATAATATCCACCGTTTGCAAACTTTTGGCACAGAGTGCTTCTTGATTAACCTTTTGACCTAAACCACGAGACTGACTCGTGGTAAAGAATTTGTGCCATAAACAAAAGCCACGAGTCTGACTCGTGGTAAAGAATTTGTGCCATAAACAAAAGCCACAAGTCTGACTCGTGGTAAAGAATTTGTGTCATAAAGAAAAGCTACGAGTCTGACTCGTGGTGAGGAATTTGTGCATAAAAATGCCTCGTATTATTATTAGAACAAGCGATTGGACTTCTACATCGAATACTTTTCTTTTGATTGTAACCTCAGTATTTTGTTTTTTTCAGTTGTTTCTGATGAAACTGCATGATCTGTTAGTTTAGTTCCCCGTAAAGCTTCGTTACGTTCACACGTTTCAAATATAATTTCGTACAAAGAATTAAAAAAACTCTTATATCCATCATGCCAAACTCTTATACCCATCATACTCATCAT